TTGGACACACAAGGAATTTGTCTTGGTGTAAATACGCTCAGCGTACATAAAAGAAAAGAGACATCCGTCAAGAGTCAAGAATCATCAGGTACAACACTTAATAATAGTCATAGGGTACAATAAGCAATCAAATCATACAAAGAAACAGTCAGTATAAATCGTAAGGATACAAGTGACAGTCACAAGTGGGAGGGGATGGGCGATAAGGAGTGATGAGAAGATTAATAGTAATAGTAGTGCAGACTTTGTAAATAGTTGGACAGTATTGAGGGAATTATTTGTTTAGCAGAGTGATGGCGTTTGGGGGAAAAACTCTCCTTGTGTCTAGTTGTTCTGGTTTGCAGGGCTCTATAGCCTCGTTTTGAGGGAAGGAGTTGAAACAGTTTCTGTCCGGGGTGTGAGGGGTCTGTAGGTATTTTCACAGCCCTCTTTTTAACTCAGGGTGCAGTATACTGGTCCTCGATTGAAGGCAGGTTGGTAGCCATTGTTTTTTCTGCAGTCCTAATCACTCTCTGTGACACAGTCTGTGTCTGTCCTGTTGGGTTGCAGAACCGAACCAGACAGTTATAGAGGTGCAGATGACAGACTCCATCATTCCTCTGTAGAATTTGTTTAATCCTTTTGTTTTGTTAACGTCATTTTTTGTTGTTGCTTTAAATCTTTCGGTGCTTTCTATTTGAACCTCCTTTCCATAAACTAAAAATTTTCTGAGAAATACTGGAGAGATTTTAGCTTCGGTATATAGGATCTCCTGCCAGAGCAGGGGGTTGGACTAGAAGATCTCTAAGCACCTTCCCATTTCTGTATTCAGCTGAAACGCCAATTTAAGTTGGTGATTGGGACGGCTCCTGCCATCTTGTGTGCCAAGAAAGAGAAGGAAGCTTGGCATGGTGTCTAAACTAGCTAACTTGGGGAAACCTTTTCAGCCGCGAAGAATTGCTACCAAGGGTGGCTTCCCCCGGGGAATTAATTGCAGTTGAGTGAAGCCGGGCCAAAATGGAAGAAAAACAAGGAGAAATCAGAGCTGGGCTTGGAGCCATTTTTGAAAGGGAGACAGAAAGAATACCAAGGTTGCATTCACACAATCACGAACCAGTTTGGCCAAAGACATGAGGGCTGAAAACAAACTGCAGTGGGTTTGAACCTGGGTTATTATTTCACAAACTTTAGCTAACTTTAGCTAGCTTGTTTTCCTATACAGGTTTTCCTCGACTTTACAACAGTTCATTTAGTGGCCAAAGTGACTACAGAGTTGAAAAAAAGAGAGTTTTTCACAATTACAACCGTTGTAACATTTCCCTCCTGTGGTTACGTGATCCAAATTCAGACGCTTGGGGACTGACTCATATTTACGATGGTTGCAGGGTCATGGGATCACCTTCTGACAAGCAAACTCAATGGGGGAAAGATTCATATTCACTTAACAACCGAGTTTCAGTGATCCACTTGATGACGGTGGCCAGGGACGTCGTAAAATGGGGCCACGCTCCCTTTACAAATGTTTCAAGTCCCTGACAGAAATAACAACTGTTCATTCGGGGTGACAAGAGCGCTGAAAAAAAATGACTTATTACCGTTTTTCACACTTAACGACCGTTGGCAGCATCCCTGGGGGACACGTGATCAAAATTCAGCCGCTTTTGGCAACTGGTTCACATGTACGATGGTCACAGTGTCCCCAGGGGTCATGTGATCGCTTTTTGTGACAAGTCAATGGGGAAGCCTGTTAGGGATATACACCCTAGCAGAACCTGCACGCAGTCAGGCAGGCAGGCAAATATGTGAGACAAACGTTGTTGTAGTTTACACTCAGTAAAACAGATACAATGTGCTAGTTAAATAGTTTATTCCAGTAAGATTTATAGCATAGTCAAACAGTCCATATATCATACACTAGTTCAGTCCGTCCGGGGATTAATCAGTTGCAAAGTCCAGTGTCGAAAAAGAGGTCAGTAAACTTACAATATCAGTCCAGCAATATATCTCTTCGCAGTAGAGATATGAAGAAGTCAAACCTCTTGTCTTCCTTCAGCAACAGCAGAGAACATGCAGTTATCAAACCATCAATCCATCATCGTCAGCAAGCAATCCAGTAAGCCAGCAATCAATCAAGTTCTCTTGCTCCCTCTTATGGCGATTTACAGCCGCACCCAAAATTACATGTTTTACAGTTAAAGTGACACACACTTAAATTCACAATCATAGTCTATATATATTATTTTACCCAAACTATGTTAGGTAACCTATGTTATTCCTAACAAAGCCAGATTCACTTAAGAACCGTGTCACTAATTTAAGAAGTGCCCCGATTCCCTTAACAAATATCTCGCTGAGCAACTGAAGTTTGGGGCTCAAATTGTGGTCATAAGTCGAGGACTACCTATTGTTGTGTCCTGACAGCGAACAGTGAGGAGGTTGCGGAGGAACATGGGCCATTCCTGGAGTCTGGGGAAGTCTCTGACGAGAGCTCTGCGTCGCAGAGATGGGGCCAGGGCCATCCGACAGTTATTAGCTGCCTTTGGAGTCGGAGATCAGTGGGGAAGAAGAACAGCTGGAGCCTGTTCCCATTGTGTGCATGCACAGAGTTGCCAGATGAAGGGAACAGTTAAGGAACAAGGGTTGACTTGGGAGTAAAGGCTCAGGTGGATGGTGAATGGCCCCTCCCATAGGGAACAAAGAGGAGTGAAATGGGAGGGGTGTTTGCTGTAGACAATTAGTTCAATTAATTAAGGTGAAGATCTGTTCCTGACTTCTTGCCAAGTAATTTCTGCTACAGCGTGGCGTTTGGAAGCTATTGGCCTGGCAACTCTCCAAGCCTGATAAAGGTCTGTGATTGTGAAATCTCATGAAAAGACTTTGCTGGAGAGGAATTTACTTTAACGTGAATAAAAGGGGTTTTATCGGGATGAGGAATCTGCTTCATGACCTTGGGGAGCCTAGGTCAGAGCACATATACAGGGAAGAGTTTCCAGAACCAGCTGTTTTTTTAAAAAGAGCACAGCTTGCTTCTTTCGGGAGTTGTCTGAAAGCTTTCTCTTTTCCCCCCCCTCCTTCTACAGTTCTGCTGAGCGAATACGTGGACGATGGCGAAGTCAGCGGGAAAACCCTAAAGATCACCGATTTCGGTCTGGCCAGGGAATGGCACAAAACCACTAAAATGAGCGCAGCCGGGACTTACGCTTGGATGGCGCCGGAGGTCATCAAAAATTCCACTTTTTCCCGGGGTAGCGACGTCTGGAGGTAAGGAGGGAGAGAAAGAAGGAAGTTTCTCCAGGTGGACGGAGGACTGGAGGTTCAAAGCCTGTTTGGCCCTTTGACCCTGTGTGGAAACTGATGGGCAGCTTGCCAGGAAAGAAAAAAAAAGAGTTATTTAAATGCGTGAATAGCAATAGCTCTTGGACTTAAACAGGTAATTCTCAACTTCGTTTAGTGACAGTTCGAAGTTACAACGGCACTAAAAAAAATGTAACCTAGGATCCTTTTTTCAGTTTTGCAGCAACCCTACGATCACATGTTCAACATTCAGACACTTGGCAGCTGGTTCATATTTATGACGGTCGCAGTGTCCCAGGGGGTCATGTGATCCCCTTTTGCGACCTTCTGACAAGCAAAGTCAATAGGGGAGCCAGATTCACTTAACAACCGTTTGACTAACTTATCAACTGCACCAATTCACGGTCACAATGGTGGCCAGAAATGTCTCCCTTAGGAACAGAAACTGTAGTCGTAAGTCGAGGACTTACCTGTATACTGCTCATAGTGCCCTACAGCCCTCTCTGAGAGGGTTACAGAGCCAGCCTTTTGCCCCCAACAATCTGGGTCCTCATTTTACCCACCTCGGAAGGACAGAAGGATGAATCAATCTTGAGCTGGTCAAGATCGATCTCCTGACTGTGGGCAGTTTGCTTGCAATTCTGCATTCTAGCTGGAAGGGAAGGGAAGGGAAGGGAAGGGAAGGGAAGGGAAGGGAAGGG